CCCCCCCCCCCTTTTCTGGGGAAGAAAGTTAATAAGTCCCCCCTCCCCTCCCCTAATTATTCTTCTCTAATAAATGATAGACTGTACAATCAATCTCGACCGTAAAACTTCGCGTGCACTGAGACAGAATGGTTCATTTGCCAACTCTGGAAGTTCGGATTTGGTTCTGATCCTAGGGTGCATGACCTCCAACCTTCTTGTGCTTGAGCTTTTCCACTTTGTACTCTAGTTCTTTAAGGAGAACTCATACCACCATCTTTTCTAAATTAAATAAGCCCCCGTCTCTATCAAGCCCCCTCTCAAAAGGGCTTGAAATTCCCTAGATCCTCATGGCCCCTCAGTACCATCAACTCAACGAACATTTTTTCACTCGATCATTGGCACCTCATTCGTGTTTTCTTATTTTGGCAAAAAAGCAAAAACACGCAATTTAAATAACGTCAAAGATGTTTTTTATCGAGAATTATTATTCATTCAAAATATTTCCCCGATTCTGATTGGCTAAAAGCACACGTTTAATTCACCATAACCGGTTACTAATGACCAAATTTGAAGAATTTTGTGTTTAGCGAGGAAATGACGTCAAAAATGCAGCGTTCTTGCAGGTTAATGCACAGTCAAGCGAGAAGACCTGGGGACAAGGTTGAGTTGTTTTGGTTGTGAACTTGAAACTCGTTTCATTTCACTCGTTTCAAGAGTAAGAACTAGGCGAAAAAAACGCTAAAAACATGGCAAGAAAAGCAAGAAGACAATTCGAAGGGCGACATCTGCTATTTGGAGGATATTTGCGGAGCTGAACAACCCCCAACGTGCACTATCGAAGATGAACTTAACATCGATGGAGGTAAGCGTGTTTTAGTCATGTTTTTAAACTAGGAATTATTTTGAATAAATAATAAAACAATTATTGAATTCGGCTTTCGTATCATATGAAGAATTATGGAGATCTTGGAGGGTGTTATCCGTCGAGGCCGTAACACCATCCTCGATCTCCATAATTCTTCATAAGATACTCAGCCTCGTTCATTAATTGCTAATTAACTTCTGCTTATAACTTTCTTCTTGAATCTATTACCGCCCCGGACGAATCTTCAATAGTTTCCTTTCATTTTGCAATATTGTGCCACATGCAACAACCATACTGCGCTTGGGCTGCCCGTTAGATCAGCTGGCCCTCCCATTTTTTTTTGCGCGCGCGCGTGTGAGAGTTATGGCGGTGAAGCTGCGAGGGAATTTCAAAACGTCTCCTCTTCTTCCCCAAGGTGAGCGGCTTTGCAGCTCCTCTGCCAAAACTCTGTACGCGCTTCTGATCACGCTGACTACGCAGGCTGCAGATTGTGAAGAAACGAAAACAGCTAGCATGTGACAGCTTAATGATTTGTTTTTATTTTTACGTGAGAGATCGAGGAATCTAAAAACAGTCTTAAAAATATAACTATGGCACGCTATGACAAAGGCGTTTTGTAAGAACATTCCTTGGTAAAGGGCTCAGTCCTGATTAGATCCCAGGTGCCTTACTGCTAATACGGTTCTTGTTATGCTTCTACTTTTACTTCCTATTCAAACGTTTTAAGATTACTTTCTCTATATGATCATTACTGGTTAACTGTTTATACTCGTTTGGTCTGAAATTGTCTGATTACTGGGGAAGCTCCTTCTCCATATTTAATCACCACTAGCTTCAGGTGGCACGTTGTAATACGGATGATCTTCATTGTGTTTGTTTAGATCCAAGTATGGCGCATCCCTCTGCATTATCGCCTCCAGTTTTTCGATCAGTTGATAGAAACTGGGACGAGAGCGAGGTTCCTCTTTCCAACAGTCAGTCATCAGCTCATATCTGTTATTGATAAAAAAAAATAAAATAAAATAAAATAAAACAATAAACAAACCAATTGAAGTTAGTCAGAGTTCCAATCCATTCTTGCATGTATAGACACCGTTTCTCCGATTTAGTGGAGGAGTTTTCCTTTAGACCAGCTGGGATCCACTCACACCGGATCATTAGGCTTGTCGGTATCTTGCCACGCCTGCGAGCAAGCTCTCCATTTGGGGGATCTCTTTAAGTACACGCACGTGCGGCACGCGAGAGGAAACACGACAGCGAGGGGTCCCCGCTCGCGCGTTCTCGCGTGGTTCGTTTCCCTCGCCCAAATGGAGAGCTTGCTCGCAGGCTAATTCTTTCTCTGCTCCTCACCCATCATTATACCGTAATAAAATTGAATATAAGGGAATAAAGCATAAAGCGTCCACAGCTTGTCAACATTCTCTGTTTCATCTGACATACTAGATAGTTTTGGAATAGTCTGCTGGAAATGTCGTTTAAAGTTTCTCAAGTTGAAAGAATTAGCCAACATCGCGAGATTTTACTGAATAAAGCTGTTGGCAGGTAAGAGAAAGAATAGCTAGTTTTAATTAATAACTAGTGCTTTCCACAAGTTGCTCTGCAACTTTTTGGCAACTTTTTCGTATTTCGAGCAACTTTTTGCATTCTGAGCAATTTCTCTAATTATGTTCTAATCTCAGTTCTGAGATATCGGAGCAGCTGTTAGTGCTTAAATTGGCCTTTCTTTCATATTTCACAATGTTTTGGTGGACAATTTGTCAATTTATGAATTTCTTATAAAAAAGGAGCCAAATCCTCCCCCCTGGGGCAGATCACGAGGGCAAGATAAAAGTAGCTGGGCTGCTCGGTCAGCGGTTTTAGAGAAAATTCAAAATGGTGGACGAAGATCAGGAGGGAGTCATAAACTTAGGCCTGGGCACTAGAGCAGATATTGGCGAATGAAAATCTGATGTGTCTAGCCATCATGCCGTCACGTTCAAGCCGGCCCGGGAAGGTTTGAAAGATGGTAAACAAAATGAATGTCGTGAAAAGTTCACGGTCCAATTTCTCAGTAACGGTAGAGCAAATCATTTCAACAACTAAAGCGAAGCTGCAGATGTTATCATATAAAGTATCAATAACGCAATTTTAGCCTGAAAACAAAAAACAGACTGGCGACAAGACTCAAAAGTGTTGAAAAACGTTCCTACCGATCGATAAAATCATCACCAAGATCGTACAATACTGCGCTTGGAGACAAAAAGATAACTTACATAGGTCAAAACTCTTTCTCATTTTTGAAAAATTAAATCTCGTAACAATTTCATAGAAATGATCAGTGGCTTTAAATACTACTTTCCGCAGGTACCTTGCGAGTCAGCCGCGAAGAGCGAGAAAAATAAACCAGTTAATCCAACAATAAAGCTCTCGAATTGAAACGAGTAATACGATTAATTCGAGGATATCTTTTTATGTCAATGTTTGGACTTGAGAGGTGCTGGAATACAGTTTAAGTCTACAAAATTGCCTAAGAAATATGTTACACCCATACTACGTTTATAGCCAGATGGGTTGACGCAAGATTCTACAGGAACCTTCCACTGAAAACAATACCTTCAAGAAAAAATCAGAATCAAAACAATGGCTTTTATAAATAGGTGGAAAATATCTCAGAATTGGGAACGGAACGCTAAGGCTAGTGACTCGGCGATTTGAACATTTTTACTTCGAACCTGGACAGCGACATTGAAGCTTACTTGATAACGGCTTACGACTTGCAGAGAGAGTTCCTGAAGGTACCAAATCGCTTCTCAATGAGAGGACAAACATTCACATTCGAGTGACTTGAGTGTCTCGGGTGAAGAAGGCCACTCAACGATTTTATTGGCTCACTACATTTTTTGGTTTTAATCGAGGACAAAGTTATTTAGCAACGCTGGTTACGCCGCAAAATTGAACAAAAATGCTTAGAAATCTTACTTTGGTTGTACAATTTGCATATTTTAGCATCAGACTTTCTTTTTGTAACTTTCGTTACAAAAAGCAACTTTTGATTGTTTATTGGGCATTTTTTGAAGAAATTACGGGAAACGTTTAGGAAAATCTGGAGCAACTTGTGGAAAGCCCTATCCACAACCATAAGGAAATATCGAACATGAGAAAAAAATCCTGGCAGTCGATCTCTGTTAAATAACACTATCATATTACTGTATGAAACAAATATTTAAGCTAAGATTTTGCCGTCCATCTGTTCAGTAATCACTTTGATCGAAGAAACATCAAAATCGAAACCGACTTGTCCTCTGCAACTTTCAAGGCTATTTATAACTAAAAAGACGCACGGAAAAATCGAATCGTTTTGTCAGTTCTAAGACGATTCTGATCAAGAAACGTACACATCATCGGAGCACATGTCAGGCCTCTCCATGCGATAACCAGTGCCAAGCAGTCGATACAACTCTGAGTTGGTCAGCGTGGGGTATGGTACGCCCCCTGATCACGTTATGCGAAAGAAAAAAATATATACATGTTATTATTTGACAATACGGATCATTCCCCTGGATAGTTTTCTACTGGAAATGTCAACGCCGACGACTCTTCATATTCCCCTTTCTCAATAATGCCGTTTTGCAAAAGAATAGTGATTGAATAGGGGCCAGATTTGCATTTAAATGTAAGAAAGAAAGAAATAACGAAAGCAGGGTGCTTAGTAATAAGGCTCCTCTTTCCAAGAAACAACTAACGCGTGCATATCTGATGCCGATTATCACTTTCAGCAAACATAGAGCTTGCGGTTCAAAACAAAAAAGCCTACTGGCTTGCCACATATAAAACTCATCAGGTATCAGCCTTCTAAAAGTCCCAGTGTCGTCCTTTGATATCAGTCGCACTTCAAGTCATATCCCCTGTAGTAATAGGGAA